TTTTTTTTTTTTTTTTTTTTTTTTTTTTGTTGCAAAAGACAAAACCTATAGACAAGGGAATAAATAATATAGAGGAGAATCGTCAATCCAAAAATTGGCCAAAAAATGGAACATTGGACCACCCCCATTTAAGAATTTGGTTAAGTTTGGAAATTTGAGTGGACACTTCTAAATTTCCTTCCACAAGTTGGCTTTGGTCATTATTGTAAGGAACTCATTAGCATTTTGCCGTTTGTACCAAAATCAAAAAACACTACGCCTTAGGTTCTGAGGGAAACCTTCACAACGGCCCCGCTTACCAAAAGGGAAAAATACTTGCACAATAAGTTTCAGAAACCCTGACCCGCCCTTTTCAGACATTTTGGAACAAACTGTCACTTAACTATCCTCATAAGTTCCCAACCAGATGAGAATTGAAAGCCACCCCCCTCATGACTCATGCTTTCTCTCTCTCTCTCTCTCCCTCTCTCTCTCACTTACTAACAGCTCCTTGTACTTAGTGACATGTGGATGAAGCAAATCCAGCCAACACGCCACAAGGAGAGTCGGTCCCACTACTCGAAGTCTACCCTCACATACAAAAAATAAATAAATAAATAAAAGAAAAGAAGAAAAATCATAATTTTCAACGAACCGAGGATGGAATCCTAAATAAAGAGATTATATTTGATTTGAAAAAATAATAAGAAGAAGCAGATATTTCTCGAAGAACATGAATATACAATGAAATGAAAATATTTCTCGAAGAACATGAATATACAAAGATTATATTTGATTTGAAAATATTTGAGATCTCAGTTGGAAAGGGGAACGAAATATTCCTTATAAGGGTGTGAAAATCTCTCCCTATTAGACGCGTTTTAGAACCGTGAGGCTAACGGCGACATGTAACGGGCCGAAGCGGACAATATTTCCTAGCGGTGATACTTGGACTGTTACAAATGAGTCTGTGCAAATGAGACTGTTACAAACATTCACAGTATCAGAGCCAGAAACCAGGTGGTGTGCTAGCGAGGACGCTGGCCCCTAAGGGGGTAGATTGAGAGATTTCACATCGATTGGAGAGGGGAACAAAGTATTCCTTATATGGGTGTGGAAATCTCTCCTTATAGACACGTTTTAAAACCGTGAGGCCAACGGCGATACATAACGTATCAAAGCAGACAATGTTAGCTGCGGGCTTGAGCTCTTACAAAATAAGAAAAATAAGTCTCCTTGAAAGAACCAGAGAGTAAATTGAAATCTGACGAAGTATAGATTGGATTGGAGCCCATAACTTTGTGCTCCTTTTGCTAGGTTATTTTCTTAAGGCCCTATCGTCTGTTTATTATATACTCTCTCATATTTTCTCTGAATGAAAATTCAGTTTCTAATAAAAAAAAAATTCTAAAAAAAAATGTTAGTTTAAAACGTCTTCTCCCCATAGAACAATCGGGAAGGAGGGAAGCCCAGCTAAAACGTAGGCAGGAAAAGAGACCTCACAGCCCACCAAAAGAAGGAACTATCGAATTCAGGAACAAAATATTAATTCACGAAAACCAGAAAGTGGAATATGTGAATGTGACAAACCTGGCCAACACCATAGCCGTCCTCATAAGTATTTTGTCCTGCTGGATGCCCAGAAGCCTCCATCTCATTGTTTTGGGTAGTACCATAAGGCCCAACTATGTGCAGTCGCCAAATATCAGTGGTAGATAGAGGGAAATTCAAGACGGGTAAAACATAATCCAACAGGAAGTCTGAAATAAAGGTAAGGAGTAATACCATGTCTTCTGTCTAAACTAGCAGTATTTGTCAACTCTGCCCTAAGCTTCTCCAGCTCCCTAGCCATAGTGACATAATTCTTTTCCATCACTTGAAGTGACTCAAGATGATCATTGTATAATTTTTTCTCATAGTCATAGGTCGCTCTGCAAGGTCAATAACTAGGTCATGCCATTTTCCAAACAAAGAACTCAACCCAAACATGTTTAAAATAGGAACTCCCTAACCCTAAATGCAAGAAACCTTGCATTAAGGGGTTTTCTTTCCATATTCTTCTTTGTTCGAAGTGACTCAAGATAAGGACGCGTAAGCCTAGTAGGGCTAGCTAAGGAAACTGAACCATAGAAGTTGAAAACTGAATTTGATTGAATCCACAAAGGCATCCTACACAAAAACTAACATAAGTAGTTATGTGAAATCTTAAAAATTCCTTCTAAAAAGTAAATTCTATACAGATTACTCACCTACAATGCTGATATTCCTGCTTCAAACTCTCAAGTTCTGACATCAAAACTGGAACCTGCTGCACGTCTGCATGGGCCCTCTGAAGATCTTGAGTCAAATGTTGCACTCTAGTAATAAGTTCTTGCCTTGCTACAATCAAGTTCTGTGCTTCTGCTTTTGTCTGCTGCAATTCTAACTTAATTGGCTCAGCTGCTTGTAATTCAGCTTCCATCTTTGCAATCTTATCAGAAAGATTCCTTGTTTGCTGTTCTCTTTCAGATTTCACAGCTCCTATTTGAGCATGAAGAATCTGCAACTCATGCTGCGCAGCAGCAAGCTCTTGCCTCAAGGTTCCATGGGTAGCAGCGAGCCTCTGATTCTCGGTTGCGAGTTTCTGTATCTCAACATGTTGCCCAGCTAGCTTCTGTTCCATTACTTCTGGAGGAGGCAATATGTCAAAGGGAGGAAATGTAGCTGGTGGAGGACGAACCCCATGACCAAATGCTTCTGGATGCAGTACACCAGAACCTGGAAGAGGACGCCTCGTATGTGGAGGCGGAAAGCGACCTTTACTGCCCATTTTAATAGCTAGAAATCACCTGCGTATATAGAGAATATAACACAGACACCATTACTTCAACTGGCTAACAACCAACCAAAATCAAAGAACTGTTGCAAACCAAGTAGCTAAAAGCCAATATAGGCAAGAAAAGTCTTAAGAATCATTTAATGTGCTAATGCAGAACACCAAGAAAATTATGGCCTTAACAATCATTTCGTAACCTAAATTGTAAGGCGCGCAACAATACAGCAAATCCAAAATTGAATTCGTTAAAGAAATAACACTTCTCGAGTGTACCCAATGAAAAAGAAAATCACACATACCATCAAACAGCATCGAATAAACTAGAAAATGTTCATTGATGCACGGGAACATGAGCGTTCGTTCTTGCTGAAAGAAAAGTTTAGGGTTTTCAAAAAATGAGAAGGACGATAAAAACCAGAGTATTTGGTAGGTTTATATACCTTCGGCAATCAGACGACACCGGAGAACTCATCGGCGGAGGAGGTTGAAATCGGAGAAGTAAAGAAATGAGAAGAGTTTCTCGCCACTGTTGTTTTTAGGAAGAAGAAGAAGAACCCGCCCTGACAGTCCCAATTTTAATTTCTTTTATATATATATATATATATATTGGAGAAAAACCATTTTTATTTCTAAATTTATAAATAATTATTTTAATTACATTAAATCTGAAAATTTAAAAATAAAATAGGAATATAATGTCTCCTATTTTAATTATAGTAATGGTAGGGATTGTTGTAATTAAACCTTACAAATAATAATTGAATTATAATTTAATAAAATTAGATTTTAAACAATAATTATAATCCAATCAAATTCTTAATCTGTAAAATATTACGACGTTTATTTAAAAAATAAAAACACAATGTCGTGGAAATATATTTCTCTTATTCCAAAATATTTTTATTTGTAGTTCTTAGAACAGAGTAATTATAGAAGAAATTTGAGCAACTCATGCATCTAGCTTGAGGAATCTCTTTATGATGCCCATCATCTCTCCACCAGGGAAGCGCCCAAGACATCCCTTGGCAGCTGATATCTCATCAAACTCACAAACTGAGTCACCACCAAAGGCTTGGGAGTCTTTGCTTCTCTCTTCTGAAATCCAGTCCAAGTTCTCACTGGCTACGGTCGTCGGGAGGGGAAACGGGTCGAGATCAATGCCTGCAATTACCGACTCCCCGCCCATGGCGCCTACAAAGTCTTTCAATCTGCATATTGTAAATGGAACTGGCTCAAAGCTGTGATCTCCATACTCAACTGGAGTGGAGTGGTCTCCTGTCACACAGAGGTAGTACTGGAACTTGCCACTAGATTCTGCCTTCCATAGAAGCTTGGCTAGCTGTCCTATTGCTCTATCTACAGCTTCCATTCCCTTAACTTTGAATATAGTTGCCTTATCGTGCCCCGCATCGTCTATTGCCTACAAGATTGGTCGCCAACCACGCCATGAGATCAACTTCGAATATGGTTATAAATCAACAAAACCATTATGAAAAAGCCATAATCTTGTTGCAGTGGTGGGCTTGGCATAGTAGCAAATGCAATGAGAACTTTTATAACATATTAACGAATGGACGAGTTTTTGAGAGTTGAGGAGAAAGTGGAGCTACCTTAACATGAAGGAAACCAAAATCATAACCATCTGTCCGACCTGGTTTGAGCTCATTTTCTCCTGGCACAAAAGCATTGGGACAAGATTGCAAAGGAGCTGAGAGTCCCTTTGCGATCGCAGTGGCTTTAGAGGTTAAGAGTGTTCGATAATCTCCAGTTGCTCCTGGAGCATCTAGGATATCAATTCCTAGCGATAAGCCGAGCCCAGCTATAATTTTGGTGGGAGCCACCATGCATGGCCACAAATCATGTTTCTTCTCAAATGGAGGGACCTGTTATGCAGAATGCAAATTGTAAGTCCATTGAAGGTCGTCAATGCACTTGCTGTCATGGAATAACACCTAAGATCTCAAGTTTTCTACCCCATTCAAATTATTCAAGTTTTTCGAGAGCATGATCTACACATCGTATTGCAACCGGTTCTATCCTTTCATAAATGTAAAAGGGCAATTATACAAACATCATTCCCGGAGCGGAGGAGTATATCTTGATTTGATCAACAGATGGTGCAGCAAAACAAAAGGAAGCATGAATACCAACATTGCAGTCTCATGAATTAAAACTCAGAGCAAATAGCATAGGAGAAAATATAAAAGAACAAACCTCAATTCGAATCCCACAACCTCGTAAAAGGACAAGATTGGCTATGTTCTTCCCTTCCGCTGCACGCTTTGCATTTATTGGGTGAGAGACCAGGATTCGTGAGATTTCCTTGGATAACTCATTAACAACAGCTGCAGTAAGCTTTGCTTCCTTAGAATCATCTAAAGCCTCTGCTTGCAGAAGCAAGCGGTTGTCCTTCAAAGGGTCTGTTCCCGATATATTCCCACTCAAATTTGGTCCTTTAACAACCACACCACATCTATGCTCTGTGGCATACCTGTAGGGAGAAAAAAGAAAAGGATGAGATAAATCTTGTTATCTAGCCTTGGAATTAAATGCCTCGAGCAAATAACAGTAGAGTTGATATAATGAAATGTTTCCCGATAAAATATGGTTATCTGTAAACTGATAGAATGGACCAGACAGGAAGAAACAATCGCTGAGTTTAATGATGTAAAGAGAAAAACTACCTCACTCTAACTTCATACTCTGGGAAACTTGGTATCTTCAGTCTATCAAGTGATGCACATAATATTGGCCCTTCTTCCTCAAAGTGTCTATCAGCCCTCCTACTGGTTACTATTCCCGACTTCTCGTCCAATGTAGCAAAGTTCGACTATAATTGTGAAGCCACTAGTCAATTTGCAGGCTAAATGGGGGAGGAAAATATAATGATGCTCTATCCACATTTCCCAACAAATATAGCCAGAAGAATAGAGAAGATGAAATAGATAAAAGCAGAGAGAAGACAAGGTATGAATATAGTAACAACGATGAGAAGACAATCTCTCCAAATTTACAATCACTCTGTTAAGTTTAGGCTCTCTAAACTTGAAAAGAAAACATCCAGCTAAGCCAATAATCGCCTTCTCTTTAATCTTGTCGTTACTAAACTAAGAACCTAGACTAACGAAATATTATTATGTTTCTATCCTATATGCATTCTGGTTTCAAGAGTGAATAATAAATTATTAAAAAGTGATGTAATTTAGGGGGAAATTTTGAGAAGTGAACCTTGAACGCAATATCGCCAGGTGACATAGCCAATCCAGCTCCCATGGATTCGAATGCACCTCGACCCCTATAATATACTCTTGGGTCATAGCCCAAAAGAGAAAGATGAGCTGTGTCACTTCCACAACCCAACCCTACTTCGACAGGGTCCATGAGACCATTAACTCCAGCAGAAGCAATTGCATCCAAGTTAGGAACTTTGGCCACTTGCAAAGGAGTCTTAAATCCAAATTTTGGTATCGAGACATCACCCAACCCATCGATCAGCACAAATGCCACTCTTCTCTTAGGTTGCTGGGAAGTAACCATGGCTGCACAATCTGGGAGCTTCAGTTCACTCTTTCCTACTTCCTAAATATCAAGCAGGTTCGAAAAAACAATACCAGTGAATAGAGTTGTAATGTAACAAACCCAACACAGACGCAAATAAGAGTTTGCATGGTCAACTTCATTTTTTTAAAAAAATTATTTTGTTTACTTTCAATTGTTTATTCCATTTTTTAACTCCTTTAGGCCAATTTGATATCTTCGTTTTTAAAAATTTAGCTTATACCTATGAATTTCTTGATTTTGTTATATATTTTTTCTGTATGTTTTCAAAATTCAAGCTGAATAAACAAACATATTTTGTTGACAACAAACAACTAAAAACAGCTATCAAACAGATCAGGTCCTATAAGCAATTTATCCCAGAAAAAATGTTAGGGAAGAAAAGAAAAGGAATCACCTAACGAAATGGCAGTCACCCAGAAATAGTTCAAATACACAGCAAAAAATCTGAATTCGATCGACTATCCACGCAATGTCAATTGGAAAACTACCCAGAAACCCCTATAAACATGCACGGGCGCAGCCTGTCAATAATGCAGAAGCTGAATAATACTTGCGAAGGAAAAACAAATGAATTTCCTTCAAATCATCCGTCCAAGCTTTTGGAAATAAATTGCACTTGAGATCAATCATATAACATCACTTCTAAGCAAACTCAACCTCAAATTTCCATAGCAGACAGGTAAAGAAATAAAAATTCCATCGAAATCGTTGTAGATAGCGAGAAAAAACGTACCTCTAGAGCCTCAGCACAACCATTACAAATCAAATTCGTAGTTAGGTTTGAGTTATACCTAGAACAAAACGGAATTGGAACACTTTGTGAAATTCTTCTTTTGGATGGTCTATAACGAGTTACGAGCACTTTCCACCGATGCCACTTTATTCTGCTTTCTGCATCAATGTCGAGAGAGGAAATGTTAAAAACTCCAAAAGCAAAAGATGAGATTCCCGAGAATGTGATACACTGATCAACGAATGTATAAAACAATACGACAAGAAAAGATAGTTTTGAATTGAACAAGTAAGGTAATTATAACAACGATTAAGGATTAAGAAGATGAAACTAAAGGATCCAGAAAGAGGCTCCCATTGAAGAAAAAATTCTAAAAAACGCTTACGATTACTTTATTTGTAAGGATTAACAGCAGGCTGATGAGATTCTGTGGAGCGATCTGTTTATGGAGAATGATAAGAATCCGATTACTGTTGGCCGGAGAAGGAGAGAGAGCGCCGGCGGGAAATTAACGAGGGACAGAGACAAAGATAGAGTAAGATTCTTCAGAGTGCTGGGACGAGGGCTTAGAGAATATTTCTTTTAGTTAAATTAATAATTAAAATTAGCATAAATATATATTTAAAAAAATGATAAATATACCTTTTGGCGACCATTTTTCATTTTTTAATAATATTTATTTCAAGGTAAAAAAAAGTTCTGATTTAATTAAATTCATCTATATTTAAAATATTTTTAATTGATGATTTTTTTACTTTTATTATATTTTTAGATATACAAATAAAACTTAAAATTATATTAGTCTCTATTAAACTGAATTATGTAATTTTCTTCGTTAAAATTGTTATTATTATTATTTAAAATATTAAATAAAAATTAACTTCAAGTTGATCGTAGATATTAATTTCACTATTTATTGAAAGTAAATTGATTAAATCTTTAAGCGAAATAGAAAAATAAATAAATAAATAAATTTTAGTCTATTTAATAATTTTGATTTCTTTTTCAGAATATTTTATTTTGTTTATCAAGTATAATAATTTTAAAATTTCAACGACTTGATGGTTGGAGCTGTAGAAATTATAACTATTTTTTTTATAATTAACATAATATTTACTTTATTAATTCTAAAAAACAACCATAATATAAACTTATGTTCCTCCTAACATAAAGTTCTAAATTTACCATTTTCGCCCTATTTTACAAATTGTTCATATTGTTTTAGCAAGGTCGAAAAGGACATTTCATATTCTGTGAATAACTTAAATTAAAAAAAAAAAGATAAAAATTGCAAATCTTGGTGTTGTAGGCTGATGTTACTAAAAAATGCTCTTTCTTTCACCTCATGCAATCTTTCACCCTCCTTGCCATCTCCTTCCTGCAAGCATCACCAAATTAAAGGCGTTAAACGTTGTACCCTAAGCCCATCGGGTGTCGGAGAAGTTATTTGATGAGACCGCCACACAGTGATCGTATAACGACCATATTCCACTATTAGTATATATTATTCTCTTTGGATTTTTCCTCTCAGGCGAGAGGACTCCAACCGATATGAGATCGAAAGTCATTCACTTTTATATCCGACGGTAATTAGAAAATAAAAAATCTACGTCTCACGGTTATTAAAAAGCAGTCTCAACGAGGGATATGTTCGTACCTCATAAGTTTTCTATCGAGATTTGACGTAGATAGAAGACCTCTATTCTCTTCGGCCCGTCTCAAAAGATATGGCATCACCATATCCACAGGGCCAAATGGCATGTATTTACTCACTTGAAACCCTGCATTTCTCAACCCAAAGGAAAGAGCTTCCGACATCCCATACAATTGGGCAAACTCCAACTTGTGCTTCAACTTCCCAATCCCTATCTCATATGCTTTGGTAGCCGCCAATTTCCCTACACGACACACACGGGTCGGTCACGAGAGTTTTATCAAACCATAAAAACGAAATTAAAAACTAAATAGTTACCTGATTCAACGTTATGGGTTGCAAGAATAACACCACTCGAGCTCTTAACGACGTTGTCGAGTAAGAACGACGCACAACCATCGTAGCACGAGTGAGTATCGAGAATGGTATCGTGAATGGGAGACGGAAACCCCAAAGACGACGCGAGTTTGGATTCACTAGACATATAAGCACCTCTCACGAGCTTAATCCCAAGAGGAATTTTCATATTGTCAGCAGCCTTAGCAACCAACAACAAGCGGTCTTTGGCGTCCTTCAAATAGGCTTGGACAGTGCCATAGACGATGGGATTGTGGTCTTTGTTGTAATCAATGGCGGCAGAGTAAGTGAAGTAATCAATGGCGGGTTGAACTTTGGTGTGCTCGGCATCGATGGCTAAAGGGACGTTGGCATCAGCACAGGCTTGACAGATTTTGATGAGCCTTTGGTGGCTGATTTGGAGGCTTTTCTCTTCTTGGGGAGTTAGGGGAGTGGGGTGTTTGAGGGTGTGGTATAAAGGGCTTGAGTCTGAGAAAATTGGTAAGGTTTTGAGCTTCCATGGGAGATTCAAACAAGGGTTTTTGTGTTGCCATCTTAATAAATCACTCACTCTTTCAAGCAATCTCAATGGGCAAATTGCACTAACTTTAGCCACCACAAAACTTGCCTGTCATTGTCAAATACAAGAATTTTCTCAGGAAACAAACACAAAGATGCCAATTTTGTAATGTTTTCCATTAACTTGCCATAGCGCATATAACGTGTTTTAGCTAGTTACGTATTTGCTACGGAGATTGTAACGGCCCAGGCCCACAATTAGCACATATTGTCCTTCTGAGTTTTTTCTTTTAGATTTCAGCTCAAGGCTTTATAAACTGTCTAGATCCACCGTTAGCAGATATTGTCTTTTTTGGGTTTTCCCTTTCAGACTTAGGCTTTAAAATGCGTATGGTAGAGAAAAGTTTCCATATGTATTTAGTTCTCCTCCTTAACCAATGTGGGATTCTCACAGAAATGTTTTCTCACCTATATAAGAAATGTTTCACTCTCCTCTCCAACTAATGTGGGATCTCATAATCCATCTCACTTGGGGGTCAACGTCCTCGATAACACACTGCTTGAAACCTACCATCTATACCTGTCTAAGTCTACCACTAGTAAATATTGACCGTTTGGCATTTTACACATCGTTGTCAGCCTCACTGTTTTAAAACGCATATGCTAGGGAGATGTTTATACACCCTAATGTTTCTTAATGTTTCGTTTTTGTGTCACGTGTTATGCGTGGTCTCACATAGATAAACATGAAAAATTCTATCGTTTTATATAAATTGGCACCCACGTGGCAATTTATTAACCATAAAAGAGAGCGACGTGGTAGAAAAGTCTAATTTAATGAGCGTTGACCATTCCAGAAACAAAAGGAAAATTCTTTTATTTGACTTTTATATATATATATATAAAATAAAGTCTAGCACACTCAAACCAGAGCTTATCGGAAATAGAAATGCCGTAATTTAAAAGCTAAGTATAAATGTAATTAAAATAAAATAAATATGGCAGAAGATTAGCTTAAATCTCAATTAAATTCCTAAACTTGCTCTCTTAGTCTAGAGTTTTAATTTTAATTAATAATTAGTTGAAATGTCTTCATGAACTAATATTTATTTAAACTTACATTAATTGCTAAAATAGTAATTAAAAAAAATTAGCAATGAAAATAGAATAGCCATGAAAACACGAGAAGAACAGGATCAAGATCAAGCGAACTTACAGAACCAGGCGGAAGCGATTTAGTGGCTTCGATGGTTTTAAGAAACCCATCAAGATTCCGATCACATGATTCCTCGTCGTCGGCATATTCCAGGGCGTAATCAAGCATGCTCCTTAACCCGACGTCGTGAAGCCGTCGGACGGTTTTCCTAACCGCCGCGTCGTCCTCGCCGGCGCAGAAATGTCGGTAAAACGTATGCTTAACACTGCCCAAAATCGCGTCACGAATCAATTCCACGTCCATCAGCTTAGAGTTCATGATCCATATCCCGGCATCCACGACGGGGCCGACGGCGGCGAGGTGGAGATTGGCGGCGGCGCGTAAGAGCTCCAACGTCGAAAGAGACCCAAATAAGGCACTTGTGTCGGTGAAATCAATCGTGGGTGTCGCCGGAGAGCCGGTGTGATTGAGCGGAGAGGCGGAGGCGGCGGCAGCCGTGAAAGCGGCAGCGGGGGAGGAGGCGGCGGTGTTCAATAGCCGATCGAAAGTATAAAGAAAAAACCGCTTGGGGGTCTTCGATTGGGTTGCTAAAATCCTTCTGGCCATCCAATTTCGGAGAATAAATTTCACTTTTTTTTTTCTTTTTTTTCTTTTTTAAAATTTGTGCATTGAATTTTGTTGCTGACCTGTGGGTTTAAATAGAGGGAAAGATTTGACAGCTGGACAAGGGGAGGGGGGGTTTCGATCAAATACTACACGTAAAGTACCCATGCGGAAAATTAATGATCTGACGTGGACGAATCTTGAAGTAATCCACTTGTCCGTTAAAATAATAATTAATAAAACAATATCCATATAGGCAGTGATGGGTTCAGATCCAGTGGATTATAGGGGATGCTGACGTCATATTTCGAAGCAAAAAAGAAAAAAAAAAAAAGAAAAAAACATGGATAGAAATAAATCAAAACAATTCTCTTCCAATTCCTTTGAATTCCGACATTTTGCCGGGTTTTGTGGCTGCTTTGGTCTTTTAATTGTCGGATTAAAATTAACCATATTTTTTTAATGGTTTTAACTTTTAACCGCGTGTTATTCATTTTCATTTACTCTTCTATTTCATTTCATGCTCTCCTTCCTTAAAGCCTTCGGTTCACCTTTTACCTTAAATACATTCCCAATAAATATTTTCTTAAATTAATTCTAAAAAATATCTCTTTTATTATGTTTTTAAAATATTCCTTTTAGTTTTTTAAAAAAAGATATTTTCTTAAAAGAATATTTTTATTAATTTAACCTAAATATCCAACAACAAAAAAATTACCTTTTTTGTTTAACTAATAATATAAAATTATGAGGTACTATATATGAATCATATAGTCTATAAAAATAGACGAAAGCCATATAGTGTATTTTGTATAAAATTAAATAATTGATGACCACGATTGGTATGTCTTAATCAGAAACAAATATTTTTATTTTTATTTTTTACTATATTAAACAATTAATTGTGAATTATTTAAGGTTAGAATTTAATTGGACCCTTTCAATTTTTAATTTGAAACAAAATAAATAAATAGATTAAAAAAGATAACTTGGGAAATATTACTTTAATCAACGTCTTTAAGCAACAAGGGGTGATTATTAACCACTAATTGAAACTGTTTTTTAAATTAAATAAAATACATAACCTTTACCTTTATTGAAATTTTTTACCCAATTATTTAGGTATTGAAATTTTTTACCCAATTCTTTAGGTTAGATGGAATGAAATTTACATTTATTTTTTTATTTAGTTTAGAGTAAATAAACCATAAAATTATAAATATTTTTAATTTAATAGTATTTATGAATGTCTATATTTTTCTTTTAAGGTTATTTTATGAAAATTGTTTATTAGGTGTAAAATATTTATATGTTAAATGGATTAACGTAGGAATATTTGGGCATTTATCCAATAAAGCTATTCGGTACTTATAATGACAATTATGCCCTCGTCATTTTAAGGAAATTACAATTAATTACCGATTAAAATCATTTCCATTCTCATTATTTTAACATTTTTAGGACCCAAACAATATTTGCTAGGTTGAATTAAATTAAAATCTCACTTATTTATCTTATTAATATAAAATTAATTAATGGAAAGAGCTATTACATTATTAGACAGAGCTCTCTCCAATAACAAAAAGAAGAATAAACAGACCCTAAAGATCATAACCGACAGTTCATTTGTTCAATCCGGTGGCATCCTTCACAGCCTCGGCAGCTCCTTGAGCCCTAGCCACCATCTGTTGGCCGGCCTCTTGCACGGTCTCCTTCGCTGATTGAGCTGCATTGCTAGCTTTCTCAATCAAATTGCTTGTCTTCTCCTTAGCTTGGCCCTTGGCCTCTCCAGCCTGAAAGCTCATCTGTTGCGAGCTATCCGCCATATGTTGTTACTTTCCTTTTTTGAAATGGTGAGACCAAAGAAGGGTGAATCGTTTACGTTTGGATGATAAGCCAGTGTTTATGTGTTCTTATAAAGGAGTTTCGAATTGATTCATATGTTTGACACGTGTGGTTCCTTTTTGGCCTATTGATTTGAAACCGCACGTGGGAGAATTTTATGTGAGTTTAGTTCCTATTTTAAGAGTCCCAGTTTTGAATCATTCAACCCCATTTTATCATAATTCTAATTTAAAATAATTACACCCATTTAATTTAAAAAAAAAAAATATTATTTATGGAATATATCTTAATATTATTTCTTTATGATTTAATTTATAGGATATTTTATTTTTTTCTCAAGATTTAATTAGCTTATATTTTTTTATTATAAGGTATTAGTCGCTAAATATGAAATATATCTTAGATATTATATTTTTATGATTTGATTTATAAGATATTTTATTTTATTTTTAATATCTAATTAGTTTATATTTATTTTGTTATAAGGTATTAGTTACTAGCTTACCGTATATATTATTTATGGAATATATCTTACGTATTCTATCTTAATATTATTTTTTTATGATTTATAAGATATTTTATTTTATTTTTAATTTTTAATTAATTTATATTTTTCTTAAGGTATTAGTAGCTAGTTTATATCCTATAAATGTTATATGAATATCAATCAGAATACACATCGATCTCAATTCTATTTCTTATTCTTAAAATCCATAATTTAACATTTCTTAAGAAAATTTTAACAAATTTTAAGATATTTTTTTTCCAACATATTAAATTTTTGTGATAAGTGGAGCTTTTTATTTATTTATTTAATATTAGTATTTTTTTTTTTAAAGTGGACCTGTTTATCCTTGTTCTATCCCTCCAATTCTCTGCATCGCTATTTGGCTCTCCCGATTCTGTGCCCTAAAGCTGCAATATGAGATATTCATGGCGTCTGCTTCGTTTGCGAGCTCATTTTCGGTGTCAGCTCCTCCTTTCATCCAACTCCTCGCATTTTCAGGTTCTTTCCAATCCGAATCTGCAATCACTTCGCTATTTTTCTTCATTGCTTCGTAAGTATCCTGTTCACGACACGAGTATCGTTAATTCTAGATACAGCACGCCTCGAATGCTCTCGTCCGAACCGGAGATTGGACAGAAGGACTCTGCTCACGCTGTTGTGTTTGATATTTTCTCTAAATGTCGGGATGTGGATGAAATTAGGAAAGGCTTAGAGTCGAGTGGTGTTGTTATTAGTCATGATTTGGTGTTGGAGGTGTTGGGGAAGCTTGAGTCGAACCCTGATGAGGCTATCAGGTTTTTCGGTTGGGTTTCGGGGGATTATGGCGAGAAACTTAGCTCCAAGTCGTATAACTTGATGCTTGGAATCCTAGGAGTTAATGGTCGTGTTGAGGAGTTTTGGGATTTGAACTGTGATATGAAGAAAAAGGGTTATGGGATATCTAAAAGTGTACAGAATAAGGTATTGGAGAAGTTTGAGAAGGATGGATTGGAGAGTGAAGCTGAGAAATTGAGAGACGTCTTTGCATCAGGATCTATTGACAAGTCTCCCGAGAAGATTGGTTCAATCGTTTGCAAACTTGTTAGGAAGAATGTGTGGGGAGATGATGTTGAACAGCAATTGCGTGATATGAACATTTCATTGTCAAGTGATATGGTTAAGATGATATTGGAGAATCTTTGTACAGAACCAGCAAAAGCATTTATATTTTTCCGGTGGATTGGTGAGAGTGGGATGTTTAAGCACGATGAACAGACTTATAATGCCATGGCAAGGGTGTTAGGTAGGGAAGATAGTATCGATAGATTTTGGAAAGTAGTTGATGAAATGAGGAGCCATGGTTACGAAATGGAGGTGGAGACATTTTCTGAGGTGTTGAGACGATTTTGTAAAAGAAAAATGATCGAGGAAGCTGTAAACTTGTATGTGTTTGCAATGGCAGGAGGCAATAAGCCTTCGGTTGATTGTCTTACTTTTCTGTTAAAGAAAATAGCAGTTAGTAAGCACTTAGATCTTAGTCTGTTCTCAAGGGCGTTGAAGATATTTACAGAGACAGGCAATGCATTGACGGATTCAATGGTTTTTGCAGTTCTCAAGTCTCTGTCTACTGTTGGTAGGATTGGAGAGTACAACGAGGTTTTAAATGCAATGAAGGAGTATGGATACGTATTTAGTGGTGGGTTGAAGAGAAAGGTAGCATATCAACTTAGTAGTACTGGAAAAAGTGATGAAGCAAATGATTTCGTGAATAGCTTAGAAGCTTCTGGCTGTAATTCAGACAACAAGACCTGGGCAGCTTTGATAGAAGGTTATTGTGTTGCTGGAGATCTTGCTAAAGCTTCTGATTGCATCCACAAAATGGTTGAAAAAGGTGTGGACTGTTGTGCTGGATATACTTTGGATTTAGTGGTCAATGCTTACTGTCAAAAGAAACGCGAAACTGATGCTAGCCGTCTTTTCTGTGATCTCGTTGATGAAAAGCAGCTAAAACCATGGCATTCTACATATAAAGCATTGATAAACAAGCTATTGGTTCGAGGGGAATTCAGAGAAGCTTTGAAATTGTTGGGGATGATGAGAAATCATGAATTTCCACCATTTATTGACCCATTTATTTTGTATGTATCAAAGTCTGGAACAGCTGATGATGCCATCGGCTTCCTGAAGGCCATGACATCGAAGAGTTTTCCTTCTACGACAGTGTTCCTCCATTTGTTTGAAGCATTTTTCCAAGCTGGAAGGCACGGAGATGCTCAAGACTTCCTTTCAAAATGTCCAGGTTACATTCGTAACCATGCTGATGTTCTGGAGCTTTTTAATTCTATGAAGCATGTAGAAGCTGCTGCTCCTCCCCCAAATCTGGCTTCTTAGGCTTGCATATAATTTCTCTACAATGTAGTTTATGAGGTTTCATGTGGAGTTTAATCAATTTAAAGGTTTTGTTTCAAATATATCTGTTCCTCAAAATTTATTGACCTAACGGAAGCATGTTTAGATTAATTTCTTTTATAGAGAATAAAAATCAAGGTAACAAGTTTCCTGTGATCAAGAAAACTCCAGTTTCCTACAACTTCCTATCTTATTTATGTAATGTAGGGTCTCTAATTTGTACCCTCCTCTAAAAGTATGTGTTAATTTAGTCTATAATGATAATAATACTAGTCCCATTTGATAACCATTTGGTTTTTTGAAAATCAAGCCTATAAATACTACTTTCACCCATGATTAACTTGTTTTGTTATGTACTTTTCACACATGTTTTAAAAAGCTAAGCCAAGTTTTAAAAATTAAAATTTAGTTTTCACAATCTTGTTTAGAATTTGAATAAGAATTCAAATCTTTTCTTAAAAAAGATGGAAGTTTTCAAAAACAAAAACTCAAATGGTTATCAAATGGGTCTAAACAGTCAAAATTAAGTATGAACTAATTTGTTAGACAGAATCAGCTTATTAAACTTCTCAGATTAATCTTTTATAACTTTGTTCTAGTGTTTTTTTTCATCATCTCTTCATACTTTTCAAGTGTGACACAGGGAAGGCGGAGAGAGGATAACTTTTTAAGTGTGATACAGGAAAAATGCAGAGATGATTTATTTGAAATTTACCTCGTGAAAAACATCAATGAAGTGATTGATTCTTGATCTCTTGTACATGTTCCTATTCTAAGTTTTATGTAGAATATAGGAAACTTCCAGAAAAGCTGAAAATTCAGGCCGCCATCTCCAATATGTTGCTCTCAACACTGCTTGGGTGACAAGAATATCAGGTAAAATTCTGTAGGTGCTGCTGTATAACGGTATTATTGTACGGTAAAGCTCTCAACTCTGCTAATCTTGGACTTTGTTGCGCACGTCTGCAAGCATTCTGCCTTGTTTACTTTATTGTAGTCATTTTTTATGCATAAAAGTTCTTCCTCCATGTGTTGAAGGTTCTCATTGTGTTAAACGAGTGAAAAAAATGTGGCATGTGTTCTCACCCATAATGAACTTGTCTGAAAGTTTTTCATTCTTAGTATTTTAAGGAAGACAACTGATTTGGTTAACATTCAAAACATTTGTTAGCACTACATAATGATGTTAATCGCCTACCTGACTCATAATTTACTTAATCGTGTTAGAGCTTATCAATTCTCCATAATGATGTTCTTTCCTTCTAATTGATGTGGAATTTTGGTGGATCTTATGTTCATGGTACCAATACTAATTATGTTTACATTGCCTTGAGTTTTTTTTCTTTCTAATATACTTGAAAAGTGATACAGATATCTATCTTTGGTTTAAAGCAAAGCATGAGATTCTAGCTTGTCATTGCAGCAAAGGTGATAAAGAAAATGTTGATTATAATACATTATAATGCATAGCAAGCATGGAGCATCAAATGTCCCATCAGTATGTTTAGCAAACGTAAAACTACCTAGTCTCATTAGCAGTCACTTTTGATAAAGCCCTTGACAGTCTAGCTTTCTTTAAGCCACACATGTTACTTTCCAGAGTTTATTTAATGGCTTAAAAAGTTCAAAACTCATTTCAAATTTGAAAATGCACGGATCTTTGTCTTAGTTATATTTTCATGTTGGTTTACTTATACTTTCCTGTGTTTAATGATTTCAAACGTTCAAAACTCATTTCAAATTTAAAATTGCTCAGAACTTTGTCTTGGCTATATTTTCATGTAGGTTTACTTGTAGCATGTGGCATTAAATATAACTTGTAATAGTTGTCTATTTTTTAGTACAATAATTGTGAGGGTAAGAGATCCAACCATCAACGTTACGTTTGGAATGGTAAGACGCACTTTATCCACTAATTATGTGTGGATTGACTTAATAAATGTACGTTGCTAACTAGGTTTTTTTTCTATTGTATTGATGCATCATGGTTCCTGTGATCTCCCATATGGATGCATCATTGTATTGAAACATTCCTTATAAGGGTGTGGAAACCTCTCCCTAGTAGACGCGTTTTAAAACTTTGAGAGAAAACTCGAAAGGAAAAGTTCAAAGATGACAATATCTGCTAGTGGTGGGCTTGGACTGTTACAAATGATATTAGAGCCAGACACCGAGCGGTGTGCCTGCGAGGATGCTGGGCCCCCAAGGGGGTGGATTGTGAGATCCCACATCGGCTGGAGAGAAGACCGAATCATTTCTTATAAGGGTGAAATCTTGAGGGGAAGCTGCGAAGAAAAAGCTTAAAGATGAGGATATCTGCTAGCGGTGGGCTTGTGCTTGGGCTGTTATTGATTTTTTCAAATTGAAAGGATGAAGAAGATTCTTGATTAGTCATATATCATTTTTTGGGTTAGAATTCATAGATACTTGGCTTTTTCCTCCCCATATTGTATTGAATAGCAATTGTTTTGGCAAGCCAGGACACATTTTGCCAAACAGATTGATTATGACATGTCCATGAGCAAAACGATATGAATGAGACTAAACGAGACAAGGGGGGTTGTATCATTTTGCTGTGTTCATTACCGGATTGGAGATTATACGAAAGAAAATAGAGAGAGTAAATGTAGAACAAAGAAATAGTCTTCATTGGTGTTGGAGTCTTTTGATTGTCAACTTCAATCCTTGTAGTGTTCATTAGAATGTAGGCAGCAAACAAAAGACAACTTAGGTTCTTACAGACAGTGTGACAAAATTGTCATCATTTTTCTATGATTAGTAGCTATTGCTCCCCCCACTTGCTGTTTATCCCTTTCTCACAACATTTATTGCAGAAACCAGCGATGGAGGTGCGCTTGGGGGGACCAACTTTGCTAAATCCTTAGCCATTTCAGACCTTCAAATACCCATTGGGAGGATTATTATCTTGCTGTTTCAACAAAAAGAAAAAGGTTAGTTTCCCCCACTATTATCTAAGAACTCATCTCAGTTTCAGCTTTAGATCAGTTAATTATTTTTTTGCTTAATATTGGATTAGAAATCTGATTAGTGAAGGAATGAAGATCTGCTGTGATTTTATATTGTTAAGAGTACAAATTGAAAGCTTTAAACTTGTAATTTAAAGTAATCCAAGTCTATTAATCCACTTTGGTCTAAATCAAAGATAATATCTACCCTTATAATGATTATAAAAAAGATCCAAAAGAGAAGAACAATGATAGTAACACAAAAGAGAATTTCAAAATCAAAACCATATCCTAAAATTCAAGTGGTTTTTTATATGTTTGAAAGATGTAATGTTTTTGGGAGGCAAATTACCCCCAACAGAAGGGTGTATTGATTGATTAAACTGTAAAAATAAATAAAGAAATAAATAAATAAAAGATGAATGGACCAAATTAAGGTGTGAAAAAGGGGATGGAAATTCAAATAAAATGAAGTGATTCCCCTTTAGAGAAAAGAGAGAAAAAAACATGGGACACCATGTTCCCTCATACAACTTTTTACCCTAAACCATCCTTGTCTACTCTATACTGTCTTTCATTATCTCTTTCACTTTCTTGTCAATGACTTGGAAACACATACTCTTTTGCTTTGAAATGGTGGTGACCTAACTATGGATTTTGAAGCTTTTTTTCATCTTGGGATCTTGGGGCTTTGTAAAGGAGTATATTATACTTTCCCGTCAACTAAATTTGAACTTAGTTTTAATCTAGTCAGAGTATTGAAAATGAGCACTTTTGGTCATTGTGATTTGTATTCGGTTCTTTTTTGTTCTTAAAGTTACAAAAGTAACATGTTTGGTCTATCGAGTTTAAATTCTGTTTTTAATTGGTTAGTGAAATATGCCGTTCATTTCTAATGGTTCTTACTTGTAACATTGCACATCAGTTGGAGAGGGAAACGAACCATTCATTATAAGGGTGTGGAAATCTCTCCCTAACATACGTAACAGGCCAAAGCAGACACTATCAATTAGTGATGGGCTTGAACTGTTACAAATGGTATCAGAGCCAGACATTGGACGATGTGCTAGCGAGGATGCTGGGCCTTAAAGGGGGTGAATTGTGAAATCCTATATCGGTTGGAGAGGGGAAACGAAACATTCATTATAAAGGTGTAGAAACTTCTCCCTATCAAACACGTTTTAAAACTGTGTGGCTAGAACTAGATAGAAACCGAATTCAAATTTAAGAAATATTGGGATGAAAACACCCACAATCCCAACATCTTCAATTACCCAATTGAAATTCATCCATATGCATGCTAAAGAAGCTTCCTACCAAATCCCACTAGAGAAAAGAGACAACAAAAATGGGTCAAGCTCTCAAAACATTTGGATTTGGAAGACCATATTGCATCATTTCAACTTTGAAATATAGAGGCAATAGCATCGTCTACTTATTTAGTATACCTCATGGCTTATAGATTTTGAAACAAGAAATGTCTCTTCCCACCCACTCAAATTCTCTTCTTCAAATTCTTAAATATTGTAATTTTTTTTTTTTTTTTTTTTTTTTTTTTTTTTTTTTTTTTTTTT